AGAGAGAGGAGATTGTAGTATCTTTGTGTAAATTAATAATAGAGTATAGAATTTCAGTATGGTCTCGATATATTCCTCGTTCGTTAAACTCAGATTTCATGAAGTATATATAGATGATATTTTTATTGTCTAAAAGTTCCCATTCGAAAACAATATGGGGTTTGTCATGTAGTTCGCAGATTTAGTCCTATATTGGTGTTAAGATTTAAGTTTTTTTTAACATTGCCTTTGGGGCATGACCCGTAAACTCCGGTAAATTGTTTTTGACATAACAAATAAAATCTGCAAATATGATACAAAAAAAAATAACGCAGATGCGTGGTATATTCAGTTTTTTCGTTGCCAATTGCGCGGAAGTAACGAATATTAAGTCTGGCAATACCATCACTATTGTAGCTGGACGATTTCAGGAACGGATATTTTTCAATGGGCTGGTAAAGAGAAATCCGCAAACGAAATGCGCAGTTTTCCAGTGAAAGCGCAAGTGAAAATGAAATGAAACTGGTTTGCAGAGCCACAATGCCCCTGCGCAAGATTCCGACGCTCGCGGCGAAGTGGCGATATGCGTTTTTCAAGAGACGTAAGTAAAAAAAAATCACATAAATAGCGGCGTATTTTATGCTCTTTCGCCTGTATGTTATAATAAGTATTATACATAGGTGGGTTTTATGTAATAAATAAGGGCTCTTCGGCTGGAAAGGCAAACAGTCTTCTGGGCGGTGTTAGCCTAATTGCTTTAACTTATGCTCGTGAAGTCATGATAGTTATGAGCAGATCGAGACTCCAAGCGGATTCCTGTGTGTTGGCCATCCCTAGAAATTCTGTTTGATTAATGGTCTGAGCGAAGGAATAAAAGGGCAATTGAGTTGAACTTGCGTTCGTTAAGAGACAACACAAAAAATTTGAAGCTGTGGGCTTACTTACAAGAATGTAGTATATTTCGCTAGCAGGCCAATATGAGATGATCTAAAATCATTGTTGCAAAATAGGCGCACAGAATTAGGAACACAATTTTTGTTTGGCGACAGAATATTGACATATTTTTATTTACAAATAAAAAATCTTGGCATCTCAAGAAGGCCATAAGGTTAGATGACTAAGCGAAATGATAATTTGTTGAAAGAGGATGTATAGATAATTTTTTTTTGGTATTACTAACATACTTTTCGGGGGAGCCGACCCCATTTTTCCTCGGCAACAATGGTCAAATCGCGAGACGTCACAAGAAAGCTGGTTTTGGCAAAATTAAGTTTGATTCTCTTATAAAAGTTTATAATGCTTTTGGTTACCCTTTCAAAAATAGGGTGTGCCTTCGTTTATAATGTTGCTTATTGCAATCGTACAAAGTGTGAAAACTCGCTTTTAACGTCACGGTTTTTCAAAAACATATTCTGCATGCAATAAGTTTGCTTACATTATAAACTAACTGCGATAAACGACTATGTAGCGAAATAGTTATGGTAATACATTAGTGCAATAGCTAGTTGATGTTAAATTTGAATGAGCAATAAAATAATACGATACGAATATGCGTACTAATGCGTTTCATTCCACTTTGTAATAATTTCAAAAGCGCTGGTAATTAATTTATTAGATTTCAACGGTGAGTAAAATTGGTTTATTAGCAGTGATTAATTTCGGCAGCATTGACTGACTAGAAAATAAATACGTTTTTTAGCATTGCTATGAACAATTAACAATTATGGCAAAAAATGAAACAAGTTAATAGTTTGGAAGCACGCAGGAAATGCCTACTGGGGAAGGCTTGTGCTCGTTTGGTAGATTACGATTTCCAATATTTTTGTCCCTATTTCTTTACCGGGTTGGGCGACCGGGAGTGCGTGCTTCCGGGGCCGGGCGGTTGTGCACGTGCAGGGTAAGCGGACGTGTCCGCCGATGCAAGAATACGGGCCCGGGGCGGACTGTTTTCTTGTGTCGTAGCTCTCCTTTTCGAGCCCGCTCACGGAGTTATTCATGTTATACGGTATGTCCTTATCCTAACATTCACCTGCAGACGATATTCTAGGTTGAATTTTCCAGGTCTGAAAGCAATATTTTACGAACAATAGGTTTGGCATATACGTGTATGTAGAGGTGTGGCCATCATTTCGTGTTAAGAAAAAAATTCGCTGATTTTCATGGTTTTCACTTTTAAACAATTTCAAATTTATTCAACTGATAAGTAGTTTTACTTTCTGGCGCCTTGTCACGAATTTTCGTAAGAAGAGAAAGTCCCGCCAGTGTAATCCTGAGGCGGAAACGATATTTTCGCCGAAAATAGTATTAAATGTGATTTGAATTTTGAAATTGTTTAATTTTCATATATTTCTAGGCTCACAATGCTTAGAGGGCTGAAACAGGTTGTGTTTGAAGTAATATAATGGAAGTGCGTTTAGGGTTCTGTTCTTCCTGCATATGGTTTCGGAGGTTAAGTTGGGAAGATTCGGGTTGATCACATTGAAGCCAAAGGTTGCCGGGATGAGTCACAGCGTGATATTAA